ATATATTTTTTAATTATTTTAATAAATAATTAAATAATTTAAAAATAATAAATAAATAATTAAATTAATAATTTGTACTATATTTTTATGCTATATCTATTAATTAATATATAATGTGAATGTCTTGTTAAAATGTATATAAATATGTAAAACATATATTTATAATAATTTTTCTTTAAATAAATATAATATACAGTAAATTCATTATTATAGCACTGTATATATCCTTCCCATAGATCAAAAGGAAGTTTAAGTAAAATCACTTCCAAGCTTGCTTGGCTGTGCGGTTAGTGTATTCGACTTGCGTCCTCGAGGTCTTGGGTTCGATCCCCCGTGCGTGCGATATTTTTCCGTCTTAGTTCCTTAGTGTTTGGTGTATAATTCTCAACAGTGTTACATAAAATATAAATTTAAATAATTATAAACAATAATAATAATAATTTAGTAATTAATGAGAATAAATAAGATTGTATAAATTGATGAAAAAAAATAATATTAATAATAATTATTATAATTCAATAAATTACTCCCTTTTCTTTAATAATCAAATAACAAATTAATATAAGCTTCTAAAGGTAAATTTTGGTTTAAAGAACGCGTTACAGCATTTTCCAAATTTGTTAAATTTTACCTGCGAATCAGTAATTAGGCGGTGTTCAGCCAGTGATATTTTAATACTGACTTAGTACTGACTGCCGGTAAAAAATCAGTACTGGACAGCGTTACCAGCCAGGGATTTCCCAGTACTGATTTAGTACTGGAGTCAGTACTGCTATACCGGCAGTCAGTACTGGGTCAGTACTATGCCAGTATTACATTTCTACTTGGGTATGTGTGTGTATATTACAAAATATTATAATATTGTATACATATATGTATATCTGGACATTTGCTCAGGATTTAATATATACATATATTCTAGATGAAAATGAGTCCATATAACCTTCTTTTGAAAAATTGAAAATCATCACGAATGCAAAGTTTCTTCATGAGGAAGCAAAAAGAAAGAAAAAAAGCAGAAACTTATCAAAAAAGGGCCCTTTATGTAAATTTTATATGAAAGAAGGATTTTAGTAAAAATTTGTCTCCAATAATACGATGTTTCTACGAGCGTCAATATTATTTTTGCTATAAAAATTGACAGCTTTCACATCGAAAATAAACTAATGAAATGGTTGCCTACAGAAAGGGGTTTTACAATAGTAGAATAAGTAATTATTGTTTTAGAATGGAAAGTTATTAGCGCCAAATGTTTTGAATATCTTATATATACCTAATTGAGTAATAAAAAACATAAAGAAATAAATTATTTTTATAGAAATGAGTAAAATAAATTTTTACAGATTAGAAAATATGATTAAAGATAATTTAACCAACATGTAAGGTAAATATTAAATCATTTTTTTTTTAAGTTTTTGAAATTAATAAATAATTTTTAATTTTATCTGATTTTCCAAAATAACAAAAAATTTAATTTTTGTATGCCCTGTCAACTGCCCCTAGGGATCGTAGGACCTTGCAGCTGGTGGGGTGGCTTAAAGGCCTAATCGGGGAGTACCTCTGGACCCCGTTCTTTCCCTCGTTGGTCGTTTGCGGCGGCCTGCTCCTCATAAGGGAGGGACCGCACAGTGGTCGGAGGTACACTATTTTATGCGAAAAATGGTAATTTTTAAATTGCGTTAAATTAAATTAGATAAAGCGATTCTTATTCATAAGTGTCCCTAGATTTCAAAACTGATCAGTATTTACAATAAAATTGATTGGGAAAGGCGATATACATGTTTAAAATGCGAATTTTATAAGTGAAATTTTTTACCCTTTATAATATGAGTTTTCTTAACAAGTTTTTGTATTCCAGAAGTCAATATTAAAAATGTTTAACGATTTTATGTCATTTCTCACGCTTAAAAAAAGATGTTTTCTTAAATAATTATAACAAAAAAAAATTTGTTAATAAAATATCAATTGCTTTATAATATAGCTTTTTATTTGAATAATTTTTTTTAAAAAGGTATACAAAAAAAGTACGACTGAGTATGATCCTAATTCTTTTTAAGAAGAGTTTTCATGAGTTTCATGAGTCCGATTACAACAGTAGTTCAAAATGACAAAAAGTGGATTATAACATTAAATATTCAATTAATTCATGGTAGGTATTTTTTACAAGTGATTTTTATTGTGTGTCTTGATAAATGTGATATCAATTTTCAAAATTTCAAAATGGCGGTTCCAATATGGCGTCAAATATTTTTAAAAATTGTTCAGTTTCTACGAAATTTGGTATTCAAAGGTTTTTTATATATCTGTTGATGAATCTAAAAGATAGAAAGTAATATGAAAATAATTTCTTACATTTTAGTCCTGTAAAATATTTTTTTATTTCTAAAAGTAAGTTTATTATCTTCTATTTATATTAAATTATTAAATTTCTTTCATATTTTAACCAATAAAGTTGATAAAGAATTATCAAGAATTGTCAATATTAGTATTATAGTTATTTCAATTATTTTGATGATTCAAAAATGTACTTAACGTTTTGTTATTTTTTGTATCTCAGTCACTATAAAAATATGTTATTATTAAATTACTTTCTTCCATTTTAATTGTTAATTTATTTTAAAAAAGAAATTCTCTTCAAGTAAATTAAATAATTAATTTTAATAAATAAAGATATTTTTATATTATGACATATACAGTGATAGAAGGTAACTGTCAAAGTTTAAGTTCGATATCAATATTGTGACTACTCAATCTGCAAATGTAATAGTTATATTCATAAACATTTTCTCAATTTTTATAAAGCTGACAGTCACTTTGACAGCTGTCAACTGTCAAATTAAAAATTTTACGTGAAATTCGAGATCAGTGAGTCTAAAAATCTTATAGGTAAAATTTTTATGTAGATTTACTCATTTTTTATAAAATTGACAGTCAATTTGACAGCTGTCAGCTATCACATTTTAAATTTGACATAAAATTTGGTTTCAGGAGGTCTCAAAACCTGATGGAAGTTATTTTTGTACAGATTTACTCATTTTTGATAAAATTGACGGTCACTTTGACAGCTGTCAACTGTCAAATTATAAATTTTACGTGAAATTCGAGATCAGTGAGCCTAAAAATCTTATAGGTAAAATTTTTATATAGATTTACTCATTTTTTAAAAACTTGACAGTCACTTTGACAGCTGTCAACTATCAAATTAAAAATTTGACATAGAATTTGGATTCAGAAGGTCTCAAAACCTGATAGAAGTTATTTTTGTGCAGATTTACTCATTTTTGATAAAGTTGATAGTTACTTTGACAGCTGTCAACTGTCAAATTTTAAATTTTATGATATATTCTTATTTAGTATGACGAAATTAAGAATATCCTAAAGTTTCGTTGCAATCGGTGCAGTCTTTCTAATTTTTCGCATAAAATAGGGTCTCTCCGACCACTGTGGACCGCTTAATAGACCAGCTCCATGGAGTAGAGGGTAAGAATGGTGAGGAAGCAACCTTTGGGCGATCAGAAATGATCACCACTGGAAGTGGAGGGGTGTACTGCCTGCGGGGCCCCAACTAAGAAACGGTCCCCTAATCCGAGATGTTTCTGCCGTGTCGATGGATGAATGGCACTAGGGTTTCCAAATCTGTCGCTCACGACGGGCCGGCCGCCTGTCTGTCTCTCGGGATTGTACTGGTCGGTGAGTGATCCCGTAAAGCTCAAGGGAGCGATCGGGCTGGGGTTCCGGCAGGCGGGCGGGCGGCTGGTCTTGGCGTGATGTGAACGGAGGTGTCTTAAACGGCGGCTCCGAAACACTGGGCGACCTTCCGGTAGTATTAGCCTTACTCCTGCAAGCGGGGCTCTGCAGGAGTGGACTTTCTTTCTCGTGGGTCTTCAAGTGGAGAATCAATTCAACAATTTAAATTTGGGTGACAAAAGGGTCTCGTTGGCTGCGTCTACAACCTCCTCGGAAGTTGTGGATGTAACGGTCACGAACCCTGAAGTCGTGGGTCAGTCTCCCCCCTCCTCTTTGGCTGCTCCTTCGGGTTCTTCGGGATCTGATGGTAATGTGGTCTTAGGTGGGGGAGGAGATTCGGAGGCTGTAGAAATGGCCCCAATCAGATGAAAGCGCCTTACCGGTTCTGAAAAGAAACGGTTAAGGAAAGAACGGCTAGCAGCCGGTGTAAACAATTCGGTTTCCTCGGGTGTTGCTACTGGGTCGAAGAGAAAGAGTGGCCAGGATGCATCACCTCTGGAAAAAAAGAGTGTGTAAAAAGGCCAAAGTCGGTCCAACAGAGTACCAGGAGAGAGGGGTACAATGTTGGGCTAACAATGACCCAAAGGACAAATCCTCTAACGATGGTGATCTGTGGCGAGGGCTACCCAGATGTGGCGCTTACAGATGAGCAGTTTGGACTTCTTAGGAAGACCGTTGTGACGCTCACCAGTGAGGAGCCGGTCGAAAGGTGGCTGCGTTTTGAGACTTCCTTCTGCAGAGGAGGAGTCTTTATCTTCATCGCTTCCAACCCGGAGGCTGTGGAATGGCTGACAAAATGTGTGGCCGACCATGAGCCCTGGGAGGGAGCGAGGTTGAAAATTGGTGGGGTTGAGATGCTCCAAAGAATGGTAAAGGCTACTGCGTGGTTCCCGGGAGAAACGGCGGACGCGCGGACGGTCTTGCGACATTTGGAGGCTTTCAACCCCACGTTGAAGACATCGACTTGGCGTTTGCTGAATGTTGATGGGTCTCAGGTGGCGAACAGGGGTGACAAGAGTTTTCTTCTTGTCGCTCAAGTCCCTGAAAGTCAGGCGAGGGCTATAGAGGCCCTCGAATTTAAGCCTCACTATCACTTCGGGCGGATAACCTTTAAGGTAACTGTCCCTGATCGTGACGGCACAAGCAATGTAGAGGAGGGAGAAGAGCAAACATAATTCACTGTTTGCAAGCTCTCCGCTATTCAGATTAACTTGCATCATAGCAAAGGCGCCTCATCAGTACTGACGAGGAGCATGGCTAAGTTGCACTCAGGCATCTCACTAATCCAAGAACCATGGTTAGTAAGAGGTGTCATTAGGGGGCTTGGTGGGGCTGGTCTAGTTTGTTACAGGGACTGCAGAGCTGCCAAACCCAGAGCGTGCATTCTTACTAAGGGTGTCAACGCAACTCCACTATTGGATCTGTGTTCAGGGGACCTAATGGTGGTGGTAACTAACCTGGAGGGTATAGGTAAGACGATCGTAGGATCGGCATATTTTCCATATGATAATAAAAATAATCCGCCAATTGAAGTTCGTAGGTTGGTGGACTACTGTATGGAAAAGAGACTTCCTCTGCTGCTGGGCTGCGATGCAAACTCACAACATACGGTGTGGGGGAGCTCAAAGGACAACCAGAGAGGACAGGAGCTACTGGAATATCTAATCGGAACGAATCTGGATATTCTCAACACGGGTTCGACCCCGACTTTTAGCAATGCGATTAGGCAGGAAGTGATTGATATCACTCTCTGCTCCAAAAGCATTGGAAATAAGGTAAGAAGATGGAAAGTTTCTAATGAACCTTCTCTTTCTGATCATTCACAGGTAGTCTTCGAGGTGGAGTCTGCGGTCCGATCCGAAACTAAGTGGATTCGTAATCCCAGAAGTACGGATTGGGCTAGTTATATCTCAGAACTTCGAAGGACACTTTCTGGTTTACCGGGTAAGATAAGAGATTATCAGACCCTGGATGAGGCGGCCAATGATTTTACAAAGGCTATTAAGGCAGCTTATGAAAGTAGCTGCAAACCGACAAAAGTATTCTCGGGAAAAGAGGTGTGCTGGTGGAACGAGAGATTAGAACATCTCAGGAGAGAAACCAGGAGACTCTTTAAGCGTGCCAAGAAAAGGCGCACGACTAATGGTTGGTCTGATTTTACGAAAATGAGAGACGACTATAGAAATGAAGTAAGGAAAGCAAAACAAGACAGTTGAAATGCTTTCTGCTCTAGCATCGAAAAAGGGAAAGAGGCGGCCAGATTGGATAAGCTGCTCGCTAAGAACCCTGATGCAATTCTGGGCACTTTAATGTTGCCGGACGGGACTTTCTCTGAGTCGGACGATGGAACCTTGGCTTGTCTGGTCCAGGAACACTTCCCGGGCTTTTCGAGGTCTGGGGAGGGCGGATCCGATCTTGAGCCGCCAACAAACCTTCCGCAGGCTGATTACCGGTCGCGGAGGCAGTTGGCTAACAGGACTGTGACTGCCGAGAGGATCAGATGGGCCACGGAATCTTTCAGCCCTTACAAGTCTCCGGGTCCTGATGGCGTCTACCCTGTCCTCTTGCAAAGAGCGATAGATGAGGCTGTTGGACCATTAGTAAGGCTTGTTAGGGCGAGTCTGACTCTGGGATATGTCCCGATAGCGTGGAGGGCTACAAAAGTTGTATTCATACCTAAAGCGGGCAAGAACGGTTATACCTCACCGAAGGATTTCCGTCCTATTAGCCTTACATCCTTTATCCTAAAATTAGTTGAAAGGTTGGTGGATAGATATATTCGCAGTGAGATTTTGGAGCGGTTCCCGCTACAAAAGGATTAATATGCGTATAGAGCGGGATGCTCTACGGAAATAGCTCTGGCTAGAGCAGTAGACCTAATTGATGGGCAACTGCAGAATCAGGGCTTTGCTTTGGGTGTTTTTATGGACATAGAAGGAACTTATAGTCAGGCCTCTCCGGAATCCATAAAAAGAGCTATGACAGCTTTTAATATTCCTACAGGAGTGGTTGATTGGACCTGTCATTTGTTAAAAAACAGGAACCTCTTATTAACTAAAGGAGACTCAGTCCTGAAAGGGACAGTCAACTCTGAATGCCCCCAAGGAGGTGTTCTTTCACCCTTGCTCTGGTCCTTGGTGGTGGATGAACTACTGAGAATTCTGACCGAAGCAGGATACCATGTAATTGGTTATGCGGATGACATTTTGTTAATCGTTCGCGGTCCTTACCTTGAAGTTATACTCGAAGTGGCCCAAAAGGCGTTAAACCAGGTAGATATATGGTGTGAGAAGGTGAGTTTATCTGTATATCCGGGGAAAACGGAAGCGGTTATCTTTACCAGACGGTACAAGTGGAAAGTCTCGTGCTCACTTACGCTGTCCGGAAAAGAGATCAAATACACAGAGCAGGCAAAATGTCTAGGAGTAATCCTGGATAGCAAACTGCTTTGGAAAAAGCATTTAGAGGAAAAATGTAAGAAACTTACAGCTGCTCTTTGGCAATGTAGAAGGGCCATTAATGGTAGCTGGGGTGTCAAACCGGATACACTATTGTGGATCTATGAAGCAATTCTGCTCCCTAGGCTGACCTATGCTTGTGTGGTCTGGTGGAGTAGAGTTGAGCTAAAAACAGCACAAACAGAATTGGAAAGGGTAAGGGGGATGGTACTTAGAGGCATAACGGGGGCGGTGCGTACAACTCCTACTGCTGCCCTTGGTGCCCTCTTGGGGCTAGAACCCTTACACCTTACAATTAAAGCAGCGGCGGTTAAGGCTGCCCTGCGGTTGAGTGGTCCTGTGGGCCGCAGGGAGGTGGGCAGATGGCGTCTCCCAAAGAAATTGGTGATAATCCCCCTTCTAAGTATGATTAGGGACAGAACTGTCCCTTTGTACCTCTTCGACAAAAAGTATAGGATTAATATACCTAGTAGAGAAGATTGGATAAATGGACTGACAAGTATTCCAGCTGACTGTGAAGTCTGGTACACAGATGGATCAAAAGGCGGGAATGGAGTTGGTGCAGGAATCTATCATGTAACATTCCAAGTGGGACACTCCTTTAAGTTGAGGACCACTGTTTCTGTGTTACAAGCCGAAATTGTGGCAATATTTTATGGTGCTGTTGAAGCCTTGAAAAATTGTCGCAACAAAGATATTTTTATCCTTTCGGATAGCAAGGCGGCCATTTTCTCCTTGAAACGATACGTATCAACATCACGGCTGGTCGGTGATTGTCATGAAGCACTTAACAAACTAGCTGAAACGAACCACGTTACCCTCCTGTGGATCCCTGGTCACAGTGGATTCGCGGGAAACGATAGGGCGGATGAGCTAGCCAAAGAAGGGGCTAGAAAACAACTTATTGGACCTGAACCTCCCATTGGTGTTTCCAACAAATGCCTGACACTGGAAATTAAACAGTGGATAGCTGCGGAACACCAAAGGGAATGGCAGGTAACTAAGGGCTGTAGACAAGCCAAGGTACTCATGGGAAGTAGTATTAACCCTATGAGGAAAGCGGAATTCCGCAAATTAAATAGAAAAGAGGCAAAGATCATAACAGGGCTATTAACTGGCCATGGTGATCTGCGCTATCATAGGCACAAAATGGGGATCCTAGACGACCCGAAGTGCCGTAGGTGTGGAGAGGAATATGAAACCCCGATACACATCTTGTGTCACTGCCCTGCACTTGTGAAGGAGCGGGAACACATTACGGGCTACTTCTTTCTGGGGGGATACCGTTATTGCTACCAGAAACCTGGCCGAAGTCCTCCTGTTGTGGAAAGGACTTCGGATATAGGGGTGGTTATGGGGAACGTAAAGGGATTACCCAAGCGTTAGTGGCGTCGACCTGCAAGGTCCTAAGTCCACAACCCTCTTCTTAATAATAATGCCCTGTCAATAGAAAGTTTAAATAGTTATATTAATTTTCCTCATAACTGTCCAAAGAAGATAATGGAGAATTGCGTTGTTTTTATTTTTATTACACGGAGAGACGGAATGATCCACAAGTTTTGAACGTTAAAATGAACGAAACACTTTTTATTAGAAATATTTTTATAAATTACTGTTCGCAATAAAAATTAAAAACTTGAATTTTACACTTTAAAAGTTTATAATTCATTTTTTTATATCGACAAAAAATTATTGTAATAAATATTTAAATTAAAGAAGAAATAAATAAATTTCGTTCATTTGAACGTTCAGAAGTTTAGGATCATGAGACGGAGATTATTAATTTTTGTATAAAATCACACTAGAATTTACTATTTTCACATTGCAACCACCGGAAATAAGGGGACTTTTTGTATTTTTTACACGGAGAAAACTGGAGTATTCAACTAACTATCTGGAGGGACAAACAGACTATATTTGAGGTTAAGTTTTTCGTAACAATCTCGGAGAAATAAATAGACACTCCGATGATTAATTTGACTCACTCGGAGGGAAAAGTTAACTATCCAGAGAATCAGGCTTAACACTTACATACACAGATACACACACACACACAAAATTTACAGCACTTACGAGAAAGCAGTTTACTTTTAACAACTTATTATAAGAGAAGTGGCCTTAGTGGATTAGTTCTTGGGACAGGAATAAATGCAAAATTTATTAATTTATAATGGTCAATTTCTGAGATAACGAAAGACCTACGTTTCACCTTATATTTAATATTATTGTAGATAATATCCAAATTTATTTTACATACGCGAAACATACACTGTAAAAACAAGTGTCTCAATGTAAGACATTTTGTCCCCACTTTTAAAACATTTGAGGTGTTTTATCTCAAAATTATTAAGGTAAAACACCTCAAATGTTTCAAAAGTGGGAACAGAAACGTCTTACATTGAGACACTGTTTTTACAGTGTAGTCATTGTCAATGATCGGATGGCATCGGCTCATTTACGGAGATTGACGAAGTTAGCAACCAATAGAAATGCAGGCGCCATATAACTGCACTCGCTAGCTACACTTGTTCACCAAAAATTACTACAGTGGATAGTAGGTTTTAGTGGAAAATGTTTTCATTTGTCAGATTTTGTCCAATTAAATTAGAGAAAACTATAATCAATTTTCGCTACATCTACAACTCTTACACAAAATATTACAACTTGCTATTTCAATATAGCAAATTTATCTATTTCTTTTGTAAATTTATCTAATTCTGTAGTACATTATGCTAAAAGTCCCCTTATTTCCGGTCATTGCAACCATTTTTAGTTATTTTTAAAAATGTGGGTCTCTCCGTGTAGTGCAGTTATCAGCAAATAGAACAAGATTTTTAGCAATATTATTCTTATAAATTCTTATAATAATGCAACATGATGATAACCGCATTTGCACCTTTTCCTACTTTATCCTCTTTATCGATCGTTACATTTGTTTGAATGTGAGTTGCCTCATCATTTAGAGGCTCATGAAAAGGCCCTAAAGTGGACTTGTTAGAAATGTTATTTAATAGAATTTTATTACCTATAGAATATCATTTTAGTAGAATGTATATAGTTGTTTGGCAGAATTTAAAATAAACTGAATAGAAATTTAAAAGAAAATTAATTTAGCTGAAAGAAAAGTAGAAAGAATTTTAATTTAGTAGAATATTTATTCGTCCGAATTATAATCTGGCAGAAAGTCAATTTGATCGAATTTCAATTTTCCAGAAATCTAATTTAACTGAATATCAATTAATGCGAATCGTTTTTTTTGTAGAAGCGTAATTAAATAGAATCTGAATATTGCCGAAAATCTTTTTGATAGAAATCTACTTCATTAGAATGTACATGTGTTCGAATATTAATTTACTATAGAAATTCAACTTATATCCGAATATCAATTTGATTGAATTCTTTCGGCGCGAATTTTAAAATTAACCAATCAGAAATTATCAAGAAAATTGTGATCGGACACTTTTCTATTTTAAATAGCTATAAAACCGTTTGAGATAAAAATATTTTGTTTGTTGCTAATCATTTCTAAGGTAATCATAAACAAATCTAAACTTTTGTAATTGAAAAAAAAATTAGTACGGTTTTTGAAAGTTTTTTTAAGTGTCCGATTACTGTTAGATTCTTACTTGTTTATTTACTAATTTTTTTAACGAATAAAATTTTTTTTTTCATAAACATGATAGGTTTAATAGTTTTGTGTGATCGTAAGGAACAGCATCACATGAAAGAATTCACAAAAATATGAATTTCACTTTTAAAACAGTGTTAATTAAAAAGATTGCTTCAGGTGTCCGACTACTGACGGATTCTTACTTTTTTGTAAATTTTTTTAACGAATAAGAAATTTTTTTTATAAACATGATGGGTATACTAATTTTGTAGGAACATTAGAAACAATTACACATGGAAGAAATTTTAAATAAATTTCAATTTTTAAACAGTAGGTATTCGAAAAGATTTTTTTAAGTGTCCGACTACTGTCTGGTTTACCCTAGCTAATCCTTCAACATACCTTCTACTGTAATAAATATCGCGTCAAAAATAGTAGGGCTACAAGATAGGACTATTTAGGGAACTTAATGGCGACTAAAGTTATTTTTTTAAACAATATTATAAACATTTGAAGGAATTTTTTAAAAACAGTTAACTTTGCTTAAAATTTGCTACTCGGGGTCTTTGGAGTCTCTGATAACGAATTTGACCATATTTTTTTAAACTTCAAAATGGTGGATCTAATATGGCGGAAATATTTTTAAAAATCAATCAAATTCTCTTCAAACTTGTTACTCGGGGGTTTTTGGGGTTACTGATGACGAATATCACCTTATTTTTTGAGAATTCAAAATGTCGAATTCAATATGGCGGACTAGAAACTGGTCACGCGGGTGTTTTTGGAGTCGCTGATAACGAATAATAATAATTAAGGTCATATTCGGCATCAGCGACCCCGAAAACTCCCGAGTAACAAGTTTTAAGAGAATTTGTTTGATTTTTAAAAATATGTCCGCCATTTTGAATTTTGGAAAACTAAGGTTATATTCGTAATCAGCGACCCCAAAAACCCCCGTGTGACCAGTTTTAAGAGAATACAATTATTTTTAAAATTTATCGTCCGCCAAATTGGATCCGCCATTTTAAATTTTCAAAAAATAAGGTTACCAGAGACCCCAAAAACCCACGAGTAACAAATTTCAAGCAAAATTAACTATTTTTGAAAATCTCCTCCATTTGTTTATACAATTGTTTAAAAAAAGTAACTTTAGTCGTTACTTTGTGGCAGCCATTTAAAAATTTAATTCTCAAAATAGTCCTATCTTGTAGCCCTACTATTTTTGACGCGATATTTATTACAGTAGAAGGTATGTTGAAGGGTTTAGCTGTAAAAAAATTTAAAAAACCAATAAAAAAATATTAAAAAATCGTGTTTTATCATAAAAATGTTGTATAAATTGTTTATTTAGCATTTTTCAGTTTTTTGAGGACGTCATTCGAAAGAGACTTTTGATACATAAGAAATGTGTATTCAAAAATTTTTCTTCTAGCATTTTAGTATTGAAATAGGTCCTTAAACATTATGTACAAATTTTGTACATATCACGTTCTTAATGGGTTAATACTAGCGTTACAAGTGTCCCCGTGGAAATTTTTCTTATATACTATAACTTATTCAAAACTTTTCGCCTACAGAACGAATCGAAAATTAGGAGTACTCCATTTATTTAATTAGTTAAAAATTAATATAAATATCAAAATTTTCAAAAAATATAAATTTGATCTTTTCTTGTAATTTTTATTAATTGTCATTGCCGATTTTGATATATACTTATTTCATAAATCTAAACAATCAATCATATGGATTTTAAAAATTTTTAATTATTTTGAAAAATCAAATTTTTTAAAAAATAAATAAAAATTGTAAATCAGATAAAAATTACTTTTATTAATTTTCTAGTGTAATATGATTTCAGGAAACTAAAAAAAGGTAAAAAAATTTTGGTACCCCTAAAAATGGTCATTTTTGAATGGTTCAAATTTTCCTACTAGTAGTTTTTAAAAAATTGAACTAATTCCACATTTCTATAATTTTTCGTTGCCAAATTTTTTGTATGTTTTTCTTACGATAATAAATAATCAATCGTATGGATTTTGAAAAATTTTAATTTTTTCAAAAAATTTCAAAAAACGTGCACAGTGCCAGCTATGTTTTTCTTAAAAAAATTTTTTTTAAAACGTTTAAATTTAAAAAAATTAATTTGTTTATAAAATTTTTTTATTTATTTTTTTTTAATTTAAAAAAAAAATTTTTAACAGCATTTAAAAGTTGAACAAAAACTGAACTTTTTTTATCTTGACGAAATTTTTGTAAATCCAATAATTTTCAAGTTGTAGGCCATTTAAAAAATGTCTACTTTTCAAAAGTCAAATTTTCAAAAATTGGTAACTCGGAAATTTGTCCACAAAAAAAATAAAAAAATACGTATCCATTTTTTTCCACTAAAGAATGAAAGAAAAATTGTTTTGGCCAAATTTAAAATGTTTAAAATTTTAGTTTTTTTTTTAATTTTTCTAATTTTAGTACGAGTAGTCGTATTGGAACACATCTAAAAGTCCTAAATATCGCGTCAAAAATATATTCCCTATCAGATAGGGGTATTCCGAAAGAAAAAATTTCAAAATGTCGGACACAAAATGACATCTAAAGTGAATTTTTATTTACAATATAGTAGCCATGTGAACAAAATCGCAAAACTTGATAGATTTCTATGAAATTAGACAGCTAAGTCTTTTTGATGTTCCTGATCACGAAAACAAAGTCAGAGTTTAAAAATTCAAAATGACGGATCCAATATGGCGGATAAAATTGTTGAAAACAAATTGTATTCACT